CGATGGATGTTGCCTAAGAAGAATAAGGTCAACATCACGTATAATATATATGCACAGCGATCTCCGAGGACTGTTGCAAGTACTAACGGATGAAAGAGGCGTGGGAGGCATAGAAAGAAGCTGATGGAGTGGACGCTCCTTGTTATTGTAGCTATAATGGATGGGCAAACATAGTGACACACGGTGGAAGCCGCGCGCGCAGGTAAAACCCGCACCGAGTGTACCTGCACCGAGTCCGATTACTCGGCAAATATTGCGCATTATTTCGTCCCGATGTTTTGTGAAAGATTACTCAACTTGCCGTGACGTGAAAAATAAGTTCTGCCATCGGTATTCAGGGTGATTCGCAGTTATCGTCCACTTGGTCTAACTTGCGCGAACACGTACAAATGCGTAATTAATCTCCCGTGCCGAAGCAGACCTTTTGCAGAGCTTTTGCGAGCAAATATTTATCTCGTAAACTTCAATCGACGTTTCGTTCGAAGAAGCGACACGTGACAGTAGCAACTTGAAGCTAATACCTTTAACGTTATTTTTATAACGGAGCATAAAAGCGAAGGCAACCAGATAATTATGTAAAAGATGAAAAATTCATATTACTAACATACAGACAATTATTTTCATTGCATGTATGCGCGCGAGAGGAAGAGGGGGGGGGGGGACGGGAATACCGTGGAAGCTACAACTGCAGAGTTTTCGCTATGAAGTTGAGATTCCTCGTCAAACTCGTGAATGACTTGGGCTTCTGGCGACTTGGTGCCAACAATTACAGGGTACGCGCAAGCGTTGTATTCCGTCTACAATGCGAAACGTATTTCAATGAGCGGGTGGCGATGGAATCCGTTTGGAATGGGGCGAGAGGGGAGGGGTTGCGAGCCGGTTGCTTGGGGATCGAGGTAGCGATGTTCGCGGTAGAACCCGTCGACGCCCGGGTATGAGGGCAGGGCGAGACGATCATTGAAATGGAAATGCCATTGACGCAAAGTGAAAGTAATTAACGGAATATGTCCGAGCTATAGAGTGAATTCGATGTCTGACGCCATTGTCGCCGCGGAGCGAGATACACGTATACCACGGGATGGTGGGCTGGGGTAGGGATGCTTCGGACTGTTTCTAAAGGATAGGTGTTGGAGAAGAGCCGGAAAGCCGGAAAACCGGAAAGTCAGGAGGAAGAAACGGCGAACATTGTACAAACGAGGACGACGAACGAGAACAAATTTGAACAACAGTGAAACGATAAAGTAGCAAGTGGAAATTGTTCAACTTGAATCGGCGGAAATGCCATAAGCGCACATACATTTTGGACATGGATAAATAAATGCTTTTATTCACAATTTCGATACGTCTAACAGTGACGTATTAAATTGTGGTTAATATTTACAATATAAATAATTATAAATTACTCGATAACAAACAATTTGCACGCGCACATCGTGAAGCAAATCGAAGCGTTACAAGTATTGCACGTAATATTAAAAATAAAGAGTGGAGATGGGTTTTACGGAGGTTAACGTACGTAATAAAGGACGGGGAGACCGGATAGTGTACGGTAAACGAAAAGGATCACTCGAGGATCGTTGAGGAACGGTTGCCAGCCAGAGTAGAAAGAGAGAGAGACGGCGAATTTTCCTAGATTTAATTAATATTTCATTTGCATGCTATTTCTCGCCAAGCCTTCAGCTTGGTATCGCGGCGGCGCAAGGCGTGATCCTCGCCACCGCCACCGTCACCGTCACGGAGAACCAACACTCGGACGCGCGAAGAGGGTACAGCCGCTGCATCCTCTATCTCGTACGTGCACCTCGACACTGACGTGCGCGTATGTACACGTACGACGCACCTATACGTAGGTACCAACGTTTATAATGGTGCGACGCGGAGAATGCGGAGCGGGGCGGCGCGAGCTCGCGAAACAGCATGGTGCTCTCTGTATTTCAATTTAGCACGTCTATTGTTAGATACTAATATTATTCAGTTCGGAATTGTTTCGCGACGTCCCTCGGAGAAAGGAAGGGGGCCTCGATTTGTACCGACGCGGACTGCCGCCAGACTCTATTACTTGCTTCTCTCCCTCTCTCTCTATTCTTTCGACTGAGTCTGTCGTACTTCGAACAAGATAACAAACAGCTAAGAAACGAGATAGATATTATATCTTCGTTTTACGTTATCGCGATAAAGGCGCGACAACGGCATCCTTTTCAAATGCCGAATAATGTCTTTATATCTAAATAATAAATGGAGCAATTTTTTTATATTGTGCTGAATCACAAAGAAAGTAAACGAGATATCTTATTAGCGTTACCCCCCCCCCCAAAAAAAACAATGACTAGAGTTACCTGGCAAAAAGACATCCGATCTCCGCTATGGTTACCGGGTGTCATCCTTGGTCCACATCAAGTCACACACACGTAGATCGGTGGTACCACCGAGACCGATCGTTCTTCGGGGCGAGCAAACACGGCGCCATGTGTTTGCCGACGTTCGGCAACACTTTATTCTCTCTTCCGCGCGCGACCCGAAGAGACGGCCCAAAAGATCTCTCTTCGATTGGCTTCCATGCACTCGTACGTATGTATATTTAAGCGGTGTAGCCGCGAAACATGCGTATGAGTGCGCGCACGGGTGTGCACCCACATAGGGTACAACTTCTCTCAGTTCCCATACGGAGAACAAGACGAAGAGAAATAGCGAGCGAGAGAGCAAATATTGATGGAAGTCGAAAAAATGTTAAAAGCCATCTGACTCGTTATTCGGTTAGCTATATTCATCGACCAATGAAAAAAAAAGAGAAAAAGTACGGAAAAGAAAAAGTAGTCGTGGAAGTAGAAATTCCCTCATTGGAATTGTGTAACGTCGTCGTGTCGTTTCTCAACGAATCACATTACTCGCGGTTGACTTTAAAATTCATATTTTTGCACGTATACGTAATAAGCGTATAATAAGCGTATAATAAACGTATAATATGTCATAATCGTTTGATTTTAGTTGTACAAGACAGTTTTGTTATCTCGAACATGAGCATTCTTAAATTATATACGCGAAAGCACTTCTGGCCGCTCGGTACGCATCGTATTGCGCTTCTTTCCGCGTTTAATGTTTCATTTGAAGAAGAAAGAGATTTGACGAATCGCACGCCAGTCGCAGTGTGTGTATACAAAATTAAATCATTTTATATCACTCTACATATGAAATAGAAACAAATTCGTTACCAAATAACAGAGCGATTACACATTTAAAGTAATCGTGATTAATCGCGGGTTGAAAGTTTGAGTAATAACTAAAGGCCGATTTAAATCCGATCAAGATCGGTACATAGAGACACATAATTGAATAAAATGCCAGCACCTCGATCTTCCACTCTCTGGAGAATCTTGAATTACTTAGTCTCTATCATCCAGTGCTCCCCTTTTCCATCTCTAACAGTGCTCCCTTTCCCCGCTCGGTGGCTTAAAATTCCTCGGTGCAGACGCGAAGAAGAAAGGGGATTGTTGCACTCTCTGACTGCGGATTAAACTCGGTCGCGGCAGAGGTGAAGGCAAGGAGGACGAGGAGGGGGCTATTATACTCCATTATGGATGGTAACCAGTAGCCAAAGGAAGAAACTCAGCGGGGTGTCGATATATTGCCACCCCTGGAAAGCCAGGCGGCCATGCCTCGTAAATAATAACCGGGGCATTATAATGTCCGTATGCACCGTATGCACCGCGCACGCGGGCACAAATTGCCGGGTATATAACGACGGGCGCGTGTTCAGGCATCGACCTATCGGATATGCGCCTTGTAGAGGCCAGTCGATTATCGGTATTCCATCGATACCGTGTACCCAAGTCGGTACACCCCACCGACGTAATTGTCCAAGTATCTACGTCGAGCAACGTCTCTTCTACCGTCAAAATCGTTCAACGAATATTAATTGAGCAAAGCGATTGTTTATCATAATCAGGTTTATTTTATTTCTAAACAACACATTTCCCCTCCATTTACATAGGTGTATATTGCAATCTTAAATTGTGCAATAACTTTTTTTGGACGAGAAAAGTAACGGGCTGGGATTAGATCAGAATTTGAAGCTTGCCGGATGACTGCTGTCCTTACCGATTGTGAGCTATCCGGGCCCACACTTGATTCTTACCTCGCTTGCCTGCTTATTTTACTGAATAAAATATGCTAGCAACGCAATGGTTTGGTATTGCGCGCGCGCACACACAATTTAAGATCGAAATATGAAATCGTCCAGAAATTCCTCAATGTACAACGGACGGCTCTTACGAAGGAGATATACAGAGTGTGGGAAAAATTTTCTAATTTACTTTTTACGGCAACTCTCTATCTGCGTAAATTGAGCGGCAGAATTGATTATTCGTATTAACCGAGATCGATTTATTGAAGAAGGGCAGCGCGATTTGAGATTGATCGACCATGAAACGATTTCGAGAATACAACGGCGTCGCGTATCCCATTTCTTCACCTGCGAACGGTATTCGTCATCCGATACCTTTTCCTTTGGTTTGTCGAAAGATGCAGTAAAATTTTCATTCAGCCGGAAAACCGGTTTTCGTAAAATCAGATGTCGTTCTTTATCTCTTTGCAAAGAGAATCCGCGTGTCTCGTTTCTCCGTCACGGCGAATTATGTTTAGATTTAGGTTTAGGTTCACGTCGCAGGCAAGTTCGTGGAAAATTGCGACGGTCCCTCGTAGCGCGGATTATGGAGCCCGGTGAGGAAATGTTATTAACAATCAATAGTTAAAAAATACAGATAATCAAGTGCGTATAAATCATTAATCGTATTACAAGAAATAAAATTGCTGAAATAAATGAAATATTAATATTAAATCCAAATCAATGATATATTGATGAGAATCTAAAATAAAAGCATCATTTAATAAAAGATATTTCGGTATGCATCTAGCCGTTTATTTTTCAAATTACGATATTGAAAATTATTTTGTCGAAGAATAAATTTAATGGAGGAGGCACGGTTGAGTGAAGGACGTGTATATAGAGTATCAATATCTTATTTATTTGCGATCTATACACTTTTCTTCGAGTAATATATTATTTGGTAACTACGGTAGGTGATGTTTCCGGTCGCTAGCGGCCAATCTAGATATTTTGCAGGCGTTATACTTACAGGCAATATTTATGTATGTGTTTATACGTGGCTGCGTGTGCGTGTATGTGTAATATGTGTACGTACGCGCGTATAACATGTTAAACATATTCCGGCAAAAATTTCGAGATTAATATCATTAGCTATATAGCGTCGTATTTACAGATTCACCTTCCTCTTGTCTGGCTGATATACTCGTCAAACTTGTTACCTACACACATATCTGTCTACATAGTCTTTATCTACACATGTATAAAGTATACTCTGGAAACGAATCAGCCATGAATTTAATTATCCTTTGGCGCTTCTCTCTTCGTACTTTTGTACGTTGCGTCACATAGCGAAATTCATCATTCATCACGATTTAGAGTCGGCGGATAATTAACGCAGACATCTGATTAAGCGCTCGTGTCAGTTTTCGCGTGAGAGATGTACAAGTGTATAAATATTAAAACCAGATACTCTCGGATTGTCAGATACTCTCAAGCTTCAATATTTTAACATTCTCGAGACACTCTCTCACTCATCTTCCTATGGAGACAACAATTTTTACCTCTTTTATTGTCTAGTGGAACAGAGCTTCATTGCGTCAATATCAATCAGGTTTTCATACTGCCTGCAGATGCCGATAACGAGTAAACTCAATTCTTCGATAGTATCTTTTCTTGAGATAATATTTTGTCGGTTTATTTGGAAAATGGTAGTTTCTTTTTTCCATGGTACGTTTTGTTAATGTTTCTATTGATGAGAATGGCTTCACAGTCATAAAATGTATCCATCATAGCCAGTCTAAAGATGATTTAGGAACAAAGAAAAAAATTAAAAAGAATCTCTCTCTCTCTTTCTCTCTCTCTCTCGCTCGGTGGATATATCTATTACGGTATTTTCGTTTTCTCATCGTTAAAAGATTACGCCTAATCTGCGTATTTCGAAACCAAATTATGCAAATAACATTCTCATCGGAAGAGATTCAAAGTCATCAACGAGATTCACGAGAGATGCGAACAAGAGATGTAATGAAGGATTACAAGGATTGTGAGTAAACACCGGTGATCGGAACTGGTTTCTCGATTAAGATTGTCGATTCCGCCAATGTATAATTTCCGATCGAACGATCGATCTTGGTAAGATTTTAATAACGTTGCACTGTTATCGTCGGTTAAGATTTGGAATAACTGATGGATCATCAGCTTTCAACGGCTGATGACGCATAGAGGCCTCAAGAATGATTCCACTTGGCGCGCCTAGTATTCGGCGCGAACGAAATAGTCCATTAGGGGACTATTGAGGAATACGACCAGGCGACAGCGTAATTTTCGTCAGGTCACTCGGAATAGCTGGTCTTATCGCTGGCATCGTCGGGGCTGGTCTCCCGATAGGCGTCGCCAGTACCGTTGGCATGCAGACTCTGGTTGGGCGGTTTGATGACGGTGGGCAGGTAACCGGTTCCGGTGTAAGGCGCGGCCAGGAACCGATGCCGCGTCGGCGGTATCGGGGTGGTGCAGTACGCGGCGCGGCTCGCGTAAGCTGCAGCTGAGACGGATGCGGCGGACGCCACGGCAGCCGATGCCAAGGCGCCCGCCAGCGGCGAAAACGCCGACTTGGGCTGCAGATTATCCTCGCAGATCAGCACCTCCATGGCGGATACCACGTCGCCTGCGACATATAGGCAAATTCTCTTTCGTCTCTCTGTTTTCGGCAGAGCGTGCCCGCGCCGCGCCGCGGTCTCGTGTCTCTCGGCCATGTCAGCCATGGTGTGTATCACTTACGAGAACATTATCGAGAAATGTAACGACGATCAAGCGATAGTATTATGCAGAGGAGAGAGATCTGGCAACGGAGGCGTGTTAGAGCCTACCAATTTATCCAGATTGAAAATTTATAATTGCACTTGTATCGACATAACGACATAATTTTGTAAAAGGTACAGTCCATCAAATAATTACATAAGTGACAACGACCTGATAATACCTGACGTATCACCTTGCGAACAACCAATACAATGAGAAGACCGACATGTAATGATCTCATGTATAATCTCATATATAATTTTTGTCGCAAACACAAACTCTCTTCGTCACGACATTTCGTATTAACTCTTTTTCAAACTACCAAATACAATTACGTTCTCTCAAATATTTCAACACAAATCAAACTTGAAGAATTTTCGGACGAGCAAATAACAATTCTATATCATAATATTTTTGAAATAAAATTTGTCTCGTGTACGGGGTTATATATGATTTTAAAAGTTGCTAAAAAAAAAAGTTAAGAAACTTTACCTTTGCAGCGATGGAGGAGCGCTTCGACATCGGCGCGACGTCTTCCAGAGAACACACGCAGTAAAACGTCGACCGGTGAGCGTTGCTGTTGCTGCTGTTGTTGCTGCTGCTGCTGTTGCTGCTGCTGCTGCAGTTGCAGCCCGCAAGTCTGTTGGATATTCTGCATTTGCATTTGCATCTGAATCTCCCGCGGCTCAGGTATGTGGTGATGGTGTTGGTGCTGATAGAGCGCCGGCGAGCAATATGCTAGCGAGCTCGCCGTCGGCCCGTAGAGAGACGCGTAAGGAGGAAAGTGCACCGCACTGCCTATTGTTGCGGCCTGCAATCGAGTATATCTCTCGAGCTTGAGAATTATCGCTAATAAGATAAGATGCGGCGACGGCCTATTATTTCGCGTCTTGAAATAAACTTTTCTTTTCTCCCCCTCTGTTTCATATTACACCACGGCGCAAGCAAATGATGTGTTTTTTTTCTCGCTCAATTGTAAGCCATGGTTAATTTAAGAACTGAAATGGCAAAACTCACAGCTAATGGGGGTAGCGGGGGACTAGGCCTAGGTTGAACCAGATCCACTGGTTGCAAAGTCTGTTGCGTTTGCGGGGGGCTGCCACTCTTGCGTAGGCTGAGGTTCTCCGGCGCCGGAGTGTCCTCTCTTTGCGGTGTCAAAGCGGGTGTCAACGGCGGGGTGTGCGTCGGACTTTGCGAGCCCGGCTCCGGACTGCCTTCCTCGGAATCGTTCAGGCTATTGCTGCGCTTTCTCGTCGTCGTTTCGGATTCCGGTAATCCTGACGCCGTCGACACCACTGTAACGTTTGCCACTTGATCGGGGAACTTTATAGATGAAGAATTCAACTGCTCGATCGACTCGAACAATCGGGATACTCGAGTTAATCGCAATTCTTAGTAAGTGTTCGAATAGAACAGTAGGTTTGATCAAACGTGATATATTTCTTGCTAAATATTAAGATTCCGATATCATTCGCCGGAGAGCGTTAGATGATTTTAATCGAACTGTTATCGTATCGTTGACGATGGCTCAATTTAGAGCCATAATTAAAGATTGTTATAACATTACGCACTGTTAACCTTTACTTGTTAATTTTTACACCTAAACTTTGGTGTTCGCGAGAGGCGTCGCATTAAGGAAGAGATAAAGAAAAAGATAACGGTTTTACCTAATGAACGATCGGGTCGTAATTCGCCACCGGAATCGGAATCATGATCATCTTCGTTGCCAGGATCGCTCGTTGACAAGATTGTCGTGTTCTCCGAAATTCTAGGTCGCTTCAAGCCTGAAATAAAAGAAAACCCCTTCTTAGAGTACTTTAACCGAGCAATGGGAAAAACGTGCGATTCTATTTGGTTTCTCCACAATCGAGAATTGCAATTTATTGGGAATATAATTGAGAAAGGTGACGTATAATACCCGTATGCGCACACGCGCGCACAAGTCCGAGGTATGTATATCTAGCAATAAAAGTAAAGCAGGGTACAGACCTTTCAAGGGCGCCGTTACAGCACGCGCGTATGCACGTGCACGACTATTAAGGCGTCGGCAATGCGTGAAAGAATCCCTGTGGGTGCTTGATCGCGCTTAGAAGGTGAAAGTCTGACCGCTCGTTAAAAAGTTTAACCGTTCGTTTATTAGTAAGGGAGAGATTGATAGGCCGGGGAAATGTAGCCAGAGCAGCAACGCGAACGGTTTCCGTTTTCACCCCCTTATTCCCTTAACCTACCCTCTTGTACGAGCATATACGAGCGCCCCTTTGCGTGCCCGTTTAAGCGCGGGAGTCTTTATCGTGCTCTTAACCGCGAGTTCTCCATTTGGTAGATTAACCGGATTTGCTCGATTACATGGATTGGTGAACACGCAACTTGTCGGCCGGCAGTAATTATTCAATTTCTTATAACGATACAGTTTTGCGTCGGTGGTAAATTTCTCTTCAATTAGTTAGACCTTTGTCTACACTGAAAAGAAAAATTTCGCATAGCTAATCGTGGTTTGCTTGAAATATTTTGCTGCCATAACTATAAATTTCTAAACCACAGCAAACGGTTTGCTATCGCATCTAATACAATAGGCACAGTAGCAGAATATTTAGCTATCACAACTAAATATTAGCTGTCCGTATTTTACAACTGAAATTTAGCCACAAGCAGTTTTTAGCTACGGCAACTACATTTTTCTTTCCGTGTAGAGTTTCCAATTACAATGTGCATTAACTATCGCCAATTAATTTCGCAATTGATCGACTTCTCTCGGCGACATTGGACAACATCGAAAAGTGTGTGTGCGTGTCTCGAATGCGAATGAGCGACGTTCTTTGCAGGATGCCGAGAAAAATTCCGCAGCAGGATACAGCTATCTCCGCTTCCAGCGTGGCATCTAGATAATAACATTAATAATTGACACCAGAGGACGTCAAAGGAAAGGAATGCAATATCGAGAGCCCGCGTTAATGTAGCTGCTGGCGCACCGAGAGGACTCTTAAACCCTCGACGTGTCCTGGGATACGTTCGTATAAGTGTTGCACACACCGATGATGACGCGGCGTATAGGCTCCGCTCCCGTAAGAATCGCTGGTAATATCTACCGGCAGGGAGAGTGAGAGAGAGAAGCCGTTATTAAAATATCATTCTTTCAGGGACTACCCCCGGTATCAACCCCTCCGGCTTTCAGTGTGCGTGCCACTCTCACACGACGTTGAAATTCCTGTCCCTTTGTAACCTTCGTAAAGCCTGGCTATAGCGTAACCAAGTGCATACCTACCAGATCTACCTCGAGGGTGTCAAGTATCCAAGCTGCGTTTGTCGAATATGCACACATAAAGTGTTTCTATATAAACACATAAAAGGTGACACAGGGCCGTTTCATCGTCGTCCAAGTTCTCGAATCCGTAAGCTACAGGAAATTGATCGGCTAGAAATGGGTAATTCATAAATAAGAGAAACTTGGAATGTAATCTCGTATGATATTTCCAAGTAGGTCTCACAGTTCACTTCCTAGTAGTCTGAGCGGCTTACGAAAGTACCTGTCTAATCAATGACGAGAAAGGTGAGAAAAACGAGACTATTGTGAAACGTCGCCGCCCTTTGGACGGGACGAAACACCGTATATTCAATAGGGAACACAGTATCGCGAACAGGAATCTTTTACTCCCCTCTTTCTTCTTCATCTCCCTTATACTTGTCTTGTATTTCGAGAAGGGTGTGTGTGCAATTTATTGTAATCTCTCCTGTCCCGGGCACACACGAATGGGAGAGATCTAACTTCTCTTGGATATCTTTCGACGCCGCGCGCCGGGGCAACCGTATATACCTAGCGTGTATTTTGATACGCGAGAAAGTTAATAAAACTCGTTGCGTCGGAAAGAAGAAGCACCGTGGTACCAACTGGATATATGTGCCTGTCGACGACTGCTCGCTCAAGAAACGTCGCTGTGATTTAAACTCACCCTTATTTACAAACGGTAAGATGAGAAGAACGTGGAGAGAGAAAAAGAGACGGGCCTCTTCTCGATGGAAATTATTGATGGCTGACCCATCTTGTGCCGACGTAATAACATAATTAAACTTTTTGAAAAAGTTACACAATCATCGAACGAGTTACAAGTCCTAATTGTCATTCTCATTTCTCAATTGATATACGTGAAAACTCCATCGCACCTCTTTCGACCCTTTCGATCTAGTCGACCACACTAACACTTGCCTCCATTGATCTATCAACTTGAGAACTATCCACGCAATAAGTTACCGTAGCTTTCAGCGTACAAAAGCGATCGCACCGCCGTCACAAACAGCCTCGTCAAACCCACGCATTCTTCCATCGTGCGTGGCGGCTCGGAAATGACGATTAATTAGACATGTTCGATGTACCATGTACGTACGAGTGAAGCTCGCGTACGGACCTCTCTTCACCTCTCTTGGCCGACGATGACAAGACGCGACGCGACGCGACGCACTCGAAGCAGATACACGCGCCCACAACCCGCGCGCACAAGCAGCGGCGACGGCGACGGGTGTTGTTGTAGGTCTACGCCCTAAACCTGCGGCGGCATGGCGTATCAGCACACGGTGGAGACAGACGCGGACAATGGAATCATGCGAGGACAATACCGAATAATTTAGAATGGCACATAGATATCGGGAGAAGCTTCGGCCTACGACGGCGGCGCGGCGGCGCATAATAGAGAATAGGAGTAATAGGACACAGCCTGCGGGGCAACTGTGGAGGACACGAAACATCCCTATAAATTAGGCTTAGGCGAAACGAGCCTAAGCGGGAGCTCGCGACGCTCCTCGATACAAATCTTTCTTCCTTCTACTTCTGGACAAAATTCAACTTGCTCCTATTCCACTTGTTACTTCCTTGCTCCGACATCCCTTCGATTCCTTCGGCGGAGGGAAAGTCAACGTGAAGAGAATTAGTATGTCACCGTCGCTCTAGAAAATAGAAATTTCCCACTAATTTCTACAATTACGATTATCGCTGAAAAGTATCGTGCCATTTTCCCGAATCCCCAGCTGCTCTGACGAAACCGAATTTTCTAGCACCGCAAAGTTTACATTCGTCAGTTGTTGGATTTCGCGATTAGATTACGCGAAGGGGAAGCGAAGGCTATGAATTATCAGTTAACCTATTGTTCGTAAGCTCGTAAAGTAACCGGAGGGTTGTACGCGAAACTCGGAAACGTTTTCTCTTTCTTTAGCCGCACGTGCGATTGATAAATGGCTTTTGTACATGATGTTAATTTCGGGAAGCTATTAAATTACAGCGGTGTGAGAGTAATTTACGCGGAAAGTTTTCCTCCCATAATCCGAAATTGTATGATTCGATAGTTGAATAGATACTTATCGACGCACTAAAATCTATTAATATTAGATGTACAAATGAATAATCCAAACTTTTTTAAGCGATTAAGAAAATAAGTGTGAGAGCAAGAGCAGGCAGCAATATAGCGGCAGCGGTAGTAGTTTGTAGCTCCGAGATCCAAGACCCAAGCAATGAGAAAAGACTCTCATTATTACGTATCGATACGCCCGGAAAATAGCAGCTCTCGATCTGTCGCGCAGAAATGACCCGGCCGATTCGAGGGCCGGCGCGAGAGCCCGAAGAAAAGGCAAGTTCCTTATCAGATATGCGAAAATAGAGAAAGAGAGGGAAAGCAGGAACGAAACGCGCGGGGGAGGAAGAGCTCTTCAGCCTGCACGGCAGCAACAGCGAGCAACAGCCCGATCAGTCATTAAATCGCGTCGCGATTCCCTTTTATTTCCAAGCCCTCTCTCTCTCTCTCTCTCTCCCCCCTTCCCTGCGTGTGCATATGCATGTACATGTGCGTGAGAGCACCGCTTTACAACGTTGGTGTATTTTCGTTGTGAAAGGGGTGAATACGGCCGCGGGATGGTTGTGTGTACACCCCGGGATATATGATGGATAGGGTGAGAGCCGAGGGAGAGGGAAAAAGGCATAAAAGGGTAGGAGGCGGAGAAAGAACGCGAGCGGGTAAGCAAGAGAGAGAGGGCAAGAGACGAGAACGTTGAAGAGCGATCGGGCGTAACGTTTTTAATTGTTTCGCGCCCAGTCGTCTTTTGTTTTGGCGTTTATGCCTCGTAAACGTTTACCAAGCACGCTCTCCGAGCGTAGTAGTAGGCTTCCTCGCGAGAGAGTGGGCGCGATTCGCCCTCGGCCCTCCCTTCCCATTCTGTCGCTTCCATTTCCACAGGGGTTCCTTCGAGAGCTCGTCCTTCCGCGTCCCACCGCGTGTCCCTTCTATTTCCCGAGGAATATAACGTGATCGTTAGTTTTTTCTTTCTGCCGAGATCTACAACGCCGGGCTTTTACGCTCGGCTGGCTGTTCGTCAATGCGTTACGTTCGCGATGCTGGGCCGCCATGTTGTCGCATGTCGAGAGAGGTTTTCGCGATCGACTTCCGTGAGTCGCTTATACTTGTTCACAATCGTTTCTTGGATTATCAAGTCTCATCGATTTTTAGTTCTTTAAGCGTGTAAATATTTGGAAATTATGATAAACATATCAATATCGTAATACTTACGTTTGTATGTTTGTTCTTAGAGATACATATAAGATAACTAAATAGGCACTATTTGCTTTTTCTTTCCGTGCTTTGATGATCCTTGAGAGGGAAAAAAAAACATTAGTTTTCTTTACGTCAATCAAGCATTTGAGAACGTACGTCTCCTCCCCTGCCAAATTAATTAAGTCGACTGGATCGAATGGCCCTTTTATGTTCGCGAAAGTAGCCGAAGGGCGAAGCCTCTGCCATCGTTCGAG